TACCTTCGAGAATGGACTTCAGTTGGGCGGGACTGCTTGGAGTTCCTGTGAGTGAGCCCAGCAATCGACACAGGGAGGAATTCGTAATCTTGGGCGGTACTAGGAGCCGTTTAGATGACGCGGAGGTGGGAATTGTGGTAGAGGAGGCGGAGGAGGAGGTATGGGGTGGTGCCGCCTGGGCCAATTTCATTGCCATAGCGAGCCTATCAACAGTCGCGGCATCAGTGGCGCTGGTAGTTGCTGCTGCAGTAGCCGCCGTCGTCACCGCCGCCGTTCCGCCAAATAGTTTTTCTGCTAGGGAAACAAAGGTCTTGCTGTTTACATCTGCGGACTCCACATTAATTAGTTCGGGCTTTGCTATGTGGATGCCGATACTCATTTGGTTGTCGGGTGTCGTCGCTTTAAGGGCAGTATCGTCGTTGGGATTGGCCGCGCTCGATCGATTGGCTTCAGAGCAGTTGGAATCTGGCATGCAGTCGTACCTGCCACCACCTCAGAGTGCGTCGTTGTCAGCGTGAAGATTGTGCGAAAGACTGAAGTGAAAAAAAAAACCAAGAGAGATGAGTGCTTGTTAGGGGGTTTGGCAGAGTTCAAGAAGTTCAGTTAACCGAATTGTGAGAAACCCGCGCCCTCAGTTGGAGACGAACCTACACACAGCAGGGAAGGCTTTTGCGCAGCCAACGCTCTACCATTGATCTACGAGGCTCACCTTGTGTCGCGAATTTAATCATACTTGGGTCGATGTACCCACCCAACCTATTGATCTTATGGCTGCCCGGCAGGATTACCTAAGTAATCATCTAGGACCAACCGGATGGACTACTAGCCTAACTTTAGTTGTTAGGGGTTTAGCAGATTCTAATCCAACTGTGAAAAACTCGCGGCCGATATACGAAAAGAAAATGGGATGACAGAGAGTGCAACAACATTTAACGGTGATAGTAGACACTAAAGCGCAGCGGAAAGACCATACAGAGAGAGAGAGAGAATATGAGCCACCAGAGATCATATTGGAAATAAGCACTCAAAAAGGAAAGAAATCGCGAAAACGGGTCCAGTGACATTTTTTATACCTAGCACTAGGCTGCTCAAACATTACTACATGAATGTCTGAAACGGAGACAGTGGATGATGCACGCGCGTTCCCAACCGCCCTCACAGCGGCCAAGGTCTGCTTACACCAATCTCCCTACGGTGGATCTATCTACCCTCGTCTCCATCTGTGCTTTTGATGACGGAGCAGCCCCTCCCTCCCGACCATGCTGCTCCGACTCCTCTTCCTCGCCGCCAGGATTGAGGCCCACCCGGTGGGGCTCCTGATCCAACAAGGGCTACTAGCCAGCCAGCCAACAGCACAGACCCGATCCCAACCTGCTTCCATTGCGATAGTACCTTCACGCCACGCAATGGCCTAGTTGATCACTTACGAATCCACCTTATTGCGACTGGTAAATCAGTACCAGGAGTAACAGAAGGCACCCGACGTTCTCGCCTCAATTGCCTGCGCTGCCAACAAACATTTATTCATAATAGACGGTAAACCACCGCAGACTAAACCCCATCATCAAACCTCAGCCACACACGAACCCTTTTAACATCATCCACCACAGGCACAGAATAGGCAACTTTGAGAAGTTGGAAGCGTATCCTGAAACTCTCCCGCTTGCCCTTTATAGCATTCTTACGCGCGTGAGCTTCGAACAGGCCGCCCCCTTTATGTGTTGCATGGTGGGGCGATTCGTATTTGACAGGCGGCATCTATGGACTGTCTAATTCTGTTAACCACTTACATCCAATATCGGCATCAATTGATTTACCGACCGGCATAATCCACCGGCGCGAGGGAGAAGGGAGGGGAACAGACACTGGGGACTAGATCCACACGGCGATCCAATATAACAAAATGCGATCCTCTTGAGCGAACCGAAATCCAACCCTCGGCCTCCCCGCTGGTGGTTCGCGGGCAACGTAGGTATACTCACGGCTAACAGAGGACAAAAACTATCTGTAAAAAAAATCCCAATAAACTTCATGGATAATACGAATATCA